CCCGAAAGAAACAACCAAAGTTCCGAAGCCATTTTCAAAAATATGCGTGCACCTCCGTACTTATGCACCCGTTAATGCTTACTTTGTTATCGCAACTGCTGTAAAGTATGTTTCCAGTTAATCATCAACTTCCACAACGATCGAAATGTGAAGGCGGTCTTGGCTCGACCGCAACACCCGGAAGTTATCAAACATCTCGGTACTGAAGCAAATGGCAAGGTCCTTCTATTCAAACGCGGTGTATCTGCCCCGCTCTGGATCAGTCCGTGAGTGCTCAATGATTTTCTCCATGTTAGTTAGAGGTATGGGGCGAAGACAATCGTAAAATGCCGCGCTAGTGGACGTGGAGCGACGCCGCGCGACAGTCGTTGTTCTGCCCTTCTGTTCGGATTCCGTTTGGAAGGACAGGTAAACTCGCTATCGCCCATCACGGAGTCTTGTTTTTACTTGAATTACTTCGTTGCTCTAATTAACGCGCAAATACACGTCGAGAACTTGCCGCACATAGCCGCACGATGCGCCGCGCGCGACGACGCGACGAGTGGCGCTCATCTTGTCCGTCTCCCGTAAATTAGTGGATAATGAGAATGTGATCATGCGCGCGGCGCCCACCAGCGCGACGAATTACAGTCGTCTTGTCACATACCCTTACTATTGGTTTGTTACTTGTGAGGGAGGTTTATCAAATAAGAACACATCTTCGCTTTCCTTCACACCGATTTTTATCAGCCTGTGATTCATACGGTAGTGTATTGTATTGTTAGCATCAGTGAACTGATTAGCCCGTAGTACTGTTGCGCTCTTTTCACAGAGCATTATATTGGCAGTCATACTATATCATTACCTTATTCAGAGAAGAAATGACATGGTTGGACGCTCATTTGAAGATTAGCGAGTTCGTTGGAATCACTTCAGCTGCTGAAAAGGTAAATTTCGCTTTCTTAAGTACCCTTACTTCTTTCGAAATGTTTTTTCTTCAGCCTGTTGTCGTAGAGCCTCAAGCACCAGCACCAGTCGCTAATGTGGATATGACGCAATATCAAGTGCAGCTTGTTGACCTGAAGAGCACGCTCAGCTTATATGTTATTCAAGGTGGTTAAGAGCTTTTTGTAATTTGCATTTTACTAAGAACCTAATACTTGTCAGGAAATCCCCCGACGTGCAATTATCGACGGTGTAGCTCTTGCAGCTTTGAAGAACTGGATGCGAACACTGTCCAAGGTTGGAAAGATGATCTACTTTTGTTTCTTCCATGAAGTATTGCTACGTTTTAAGTATGCACCTGGTACCACTCCAATGCGGCGACTTCTCTATCGAATGAATGAGTGGATCTGGACTGTGGACGATAGTCTTCTAGTTGACGATTGGACTAAAAAGCTTGAGGAAATTCAAGTGAGAAGCTTACTTTTCCTTGAGATTTATTTGTTTACTACACTTTTCCTTCAAAGGCTTTAGTGCTATTTTTATGTGATTGGAGTCTTTATTTCGGCAAGGGCATAAAAAGAGGAGTTATTCTCAGTAGAGGTGCAGCAATCCCTTGCCACTCGTACGGTTCCGACTCCCGCCTAGACCGACGCTTTCTATTCATCCGGAACCGAAAATTGTGCAAATTACACTTGGGAGGATAGAAACATTATGTACATCAACAAATCACATGGTCACAAGTTGTGTAAGCTATATCGTATGTGAAAGCCACTACGATTCTCATTTCACTACTTACCGCTTCGCAGTATCCCTTCCTGGTGCATGTGTTCCGGTCCGCAATCTCTGAGGTTGTCCCGCTTCCACGGCTCCCCTGAGAATGACGAGCACGTAACTCTTGCCATAAGCCGGTGTTACGCCACCGGTAGAAGATTCCTCACCCTTAAGAGACGAGATATGCTTGTTTTCCGATGTCAATGAACAAAGGTTTGACCTGCTCATTCTGTGTAGGACCAGCTTTTGCCGTTTTCTTCGTATCCCACCTATCCTTATTGTTCTCTCGTCTGTTGTTTTGTTTACAAATTCTCATCCGACTCAGGGAAGTTACTTAGGGTTGCTCTGGAGGTTTAACTGTTTTTTTTTCTCCGCTGGTAATTAGCATCCTTGAATACACATTTGGACTCCAGAGTTCACAGATTGTAATTGCGGGATGAGTCCTTAAGCTGCGTTCTCCTCCATTCGAGGTATTATAAAGTATTATAAAATGATCTCTCTGATGCCGCGGTAGAGATGAATAACCATTATGAAACATAATGTACAAGGATTATTGGTCGGTCCAACGTGCTCTTGATTCTGCTTTCTAATTCAGCTCGACCTTGGCAATCCTCTCCCGGAGAAAGTGGAATGGATTGCCTGCATTGGTTCAAAACCCAATTTGAGGGGCTATACATGTGGACTGTGGACGACTGCCCATGCGATCACTGTCGAGGCGTACAAAACAGAGGCAAATAGTAAGTTTTGAGACAGAATTTCTTTGTTTTGTTGCTTGTGAATGCTGAGAGCGGGATTGGAAGCCCACTCAAACGCTACATATTTTTTCAGATCCTTTATTCAATCCAGTGAACGATGTAATGGAGCCTTTCCATCAATTTATTTTCCATTTCTTGAGCTGTGCTGAATGTGCAAAGAATTTCGACAAAGAAACAAAGAAGCACCACATGCTGCAAGTGTCTACGAGAGGTGCTGAAAAGTTTTTTCGGCATTTTACAAGAAAAAATTTATTCTTTCACACATTTTCATTGTTTCACATCACATTTTCATTGTTTCACATTTTTCTTCATCCTGCACTCTCTTCAAAATCTTCATTGTGTGAGCGACTCTTTGCAGAAGAAATGGTAATGTGGTTCTGGCGAGTTCATAACTTCGTCAACACGCGCCTTTCCGGTTCCCGAAGTGACGATCCCCGTTTCCCTAAGCGACAGTTCCCTCCATCAGTATGTTACATTTTATTGCAGTTCTCCTTTTTTTATACCGGCTTTCTATTCTTCTCCGAAGAGCTCATCCAGTTGCCCACTGCCTTCCAGGATTATTGCTACGTTTTACCAGTTCCCTTTCTTAGGTTGTATGTTCCCAATGTTATGATTCCTCCGGTTCGTTTGATGAAAAGGAGATTTTCAAATTCATGTTGAGCTACTACAGCGACATTCGGCAAGACTCTGTACAGGTACGTTGTAAACTAGTGCTGCTGCGTGTATAGCACATGCAGATGATTTCATGAAGATTCTAATGAGCCTACAATCACTGAGAGAGATGTGGGGGGGGGGTTAAGCTCAGTGGTGCTGAACTCAACATCCTTTGTTCGAGCTAGCTTTGGATTGTAAAAAAGGGGTTCTAGGGACTTTAGAGATGAGACATATCAGCGATCCGATGTATCTGACCAAATATATGACATGCTGCCTTCACTTTGCTGTGGGACCTTTTTGCGTTCGTCTAGGTTCATGCTGACTGTCTCATTCGTTGGACATTTCCCCAGTGCTAGGGCCTCAGTTAGGGCTTTTTCGACTATTTTGTCAACGTTTACTTTGCCCAATAGGCATTTAAGGCGTGGATCCCAGTGTCCATTGATTGCAATTGCTGGTTTACGTTTAAGTTATAATAACTTTGTGTCGGAAGCTCGTAACGCTTCGGGTTAGCTGCATATAGAGTTTGGCTGTTAAGCAAAAAGATCTGATATTAGGCTCCACCTGAATACAAAATGAACGAGTATATGGATGGAAAGCTTCAGGGTGTGGGAGCTCGTCACCTCAATCCGAAATTCGCTGTTAACGCCAAAAAGGTAACGTTTGTTGCATATGTTATCCTACTGTCGGTGGTGTACATATTTCTCATCAGGTTGATAAATTGGAAGAAACGGAAGAACGATTACGAAAGGTGCTGGATGCTAGTCCACAGAGGGAATGGAAAGACATCGAAGGTTATGGTAAGCTCATTCCATCTTCAGACGAAATTTCGTTGCGATTTCTGCATAGGGATCTCATAGAGGTACCTTATCATACACAAAAGCAAGTCCCGCTTTCATTTGAGACGCCCTCCTTGGTCGTAGTGGTCCTATCCGCAAGCGTAGAAGATACTCTACTTTTGCAGCTCAAAAATACGTGAGGGAAGCGCGATCCGCTGGCAACGAAGCCGTGGCTCCGCGCTGGCCATGGCAGCGCCCAACTTTCATTTTTTTACTGCTACCTGATGGTGCGGTTGACCCACTACTCTCTTCATTACAAATGGTGAGAGTGAGTTGATGAGATGAAAGAGCTGGCATTAACGAGTAGAACT